AGAAAATGGAAAGATAGCCCCGTCTTCCTGGGTAGGCAGAGCCAATATTGTCAAACTGGCCATGTTACCAAAATTGACATATAGATTTAATGCGATCCCAATAAAATACCAATAGCATTCCTCACAGAACTAAACAAAACTATTCAGATTTATACTGAACCAGAAGAGACCCATAACAGCAAAACCAACTGTTGTAGTTCATATCTAGATGTCCCCTCAAAGCCTTATGCATCTGTAGGTGGGGCCTTTGGGAGGTGATTTTATTATGGGTGCATGATACTCTTCAGTGTATCAGTCCACTGAGGAGTTTATAGCTAAATGTGAAGGTGAAGCCTGGTTGGAGGAGGTAGGTCACTGGGGGTGTGGCCTGGAAGTTATATCTTCCTCCCTTCTCCATTGATCACTTTCTTCTTCCTGCCACTAAGCCACAAGGCTGTTTCCCTCTGCCATGCTGCTTTGGCTTGGAGCCAGCCAACTACGACTGAAACCCCTACAAACTGTGAGACAAAATAAGCTTTTCTTTCCTACAGTTTTGGGTGTCAGATATTGTGTCTTAGCAAAGAGAAAGTAACCAAGACAGCCATTCTGGGCAACAAGAACAAAGCATGAAGAAACACACGCCCAGATTTCAAGTTATACTACAAAGCTAGAGTGATAAAAACAGCATAGTACTGGTATAAAAACAGGCATGTGGATCAGTGGAACAGACTAGAAGATAAACAATCTCAGACCCATTAGGTCATCTAATCTCTGACAAAGAGGTCAAAAACATACCCTGGAGGAAAAATAGCCTCTGCTGGGAAAACTGGTTACACACATGCAGATTGAATCTAGACACGTTTCTATCACCATGCACCAAAAGAAAATAAAAATGGATCAAAGACAGAGATATAGTTGGGCATGGTGATGCATGCCTGTAATCTCAGTACTAGGGGGCTGAGGCAGGAGGACTGCCAGCCTGTGCTGCATCATGAGTTCAAGTCCAGCCTGAACTACATAGCAAGACCCTGTTTCAAAAAGCCAAAAAAGAAAAAAAAGACATAGATACTAAAACAATTTGCTCGAAGATAAAATAGGCAAAACTCTTGAAGACATAAGTGTAGGGAAGGACTTTCTGAACAGAACCTCAATTACATATGAAATAATATTAAGAATCAACAGGGCTGGGAATTTAGCTCATTGGTGCTGCCACCTGCCTCACAAGTGGAAGGTCCTGAGTTCGATCCCTGGTACACACAAAAAAAGAATTAACAAATAAGATTATATCAAATTACAAAGCTTCTGCACAGCAAAGGAAACAACCAACAAAGTGAAGAAACAACATACAGAATGGAAAAACATTTTTTTTTGCTAGCTACTCCTTTGACAGAAGATTAATATCTAGAATTTACAAACAACTAAAAAAGCCAAAAAAACAGACCTCCACAATAATAGACCCAATCAAATAATGGACAACTGAAATAAACAGATACTTCTTAGAAAAGGTGCAAATGGCAAATAAATATATGAAAAAATGCTCCACATCTTGGCCATCAGAGAAATGCAAATTAAAACAACATTGAGATTCCATCTTACTCCAGAAAGAATGGGTATCATTAAAACAGCAAGCAATGACAAATATTGGTAAGGCTTCAGGAGGATAGGGGGACCTTGCTATATTTTTGGTGGGAATGTAAAACTTGTACAACCACTATGGTAATCAGTATGGAGACTCCTCAAAAAACTAAAACTAGAAATTCCATTTGACCCAGCTATCCTCCTTCCAGGCATCTTCCCAAAAGAGTTAAATATATCATATTACAGTGATACATGCATACCCATGTTTATAGCAGCACAACTCATAATAGCTAAGGCTTGAAAGCAGCCTATATATCCATCAACAGATGAATGGATAAAGAAAATATATTTATACACAATGGAGTACTACTCTGCCACAAAGAAGGATAGATTTGAGTCACCTGTAGGAAAATGGATGCACTTCAAGACCATAATGCCAAGTGTGATAAATAAGATACACAAGCATAAACATCGTATACCTTCTTTTATATAAGAAACAAAATAAAAGACAATAGGAAATAGGGAGGAATATCTTTTGGAAATGGGAAGGGGATCAAAAGATGGGGGGGTGTGAAATAAAAAGCATTAAGATATGTTAAGTACATGTACCTGCTCCCTAAGGTGAATGTAAACATTATGCACTGCAAACATGTACTAATAAAAAGTTTTTAAAAATAATTACTACTTCATTAGAAGCCAGTGCTTTAAAAACAATGAAAGTTTAAGTTAGGGAGCAATAAATAATATGATTCTGGAAAAAAAATCTCCATTTTTAGATGTTTTATCTCTGTATTAGTCAAAATATTAACCTCAGTCAAGTGTGGGTTGGTGAGCTGGTCTGCTGTAAATTAAATACAGAATTAAGCTTAAGTGTTTGGGAACTTGTACTGCAATTTTAGAGTGTTTTTATATAGGCTGAATCTAAGAATTTAAAAATGGTGCTGTTCCAATGATGAATGTAATTATATTGTATACCTAAAATGTACCAATAAAATAAAAATTTAAAAAAATGGTGCTGTATATTGTATTTTATAATTAACTACTTAATTTTTTCCCAGAAATAAATTCTTAGTTTACCAAATTATTAGTATGCAATGACACAAGTCATCAAAAACCCGAATGGTTCTGCACCAATAATTTAAGATGTGTTGCTCTTACTCAAAACTAATGTCCATATGATTTTTCTTTTCCAAAACACGTAGATTTTCTTATTCCTTGAGAGTCTTATACTCTAATCTTAAAATATTAATTTTATGTGGGATTCTAGAATTGTTTTGTTTCGTTCCAGTTATTTGCCATGCATATATAAAATTGTGGTTATTTTCTGCATGCATTTCCCCCCGAGACACATGTAAATGTAGTTGTAATTTCCTGTTGGTAAATGGCATGTCTTTAAATTTAGAATCAGGTTTTAAGGTTGATATGTAGAAGTGCAAGAAATTGGATTGCTTTCCATGCAATAACCTCTACAATTGACTGTTAACTTACCTGTTTGTTGCTTAATTATATCATATATCACATGGTACAGGAAGATAATTAGATACGTTTTAAGGCATTTCATGGAGTGTATGAATGATAAATGAATCTTATGCTACAGAGGAATGAAACATACAAATTAATAAAACATTATTATTATTTTTTTCTTATTTTTTGCCCATTCCCTTGCCCTCCCTTCAACCTCTCAAAACATTATTATTGTAAGAGAAAAAAACCAAACCAAATCTCCTCTCCAGTGCTTGGCACACACTTCCTGAGAAGTGTTAGGCTGTATGGGTATCACCAGGGGCTTGAAGCTTGCTTAATAGCTGTGTGTCAGCAGGGCCTCAGTCTTCATGGGATTCTTCCTCTGCAGATGCAGCCCAGCAGGGGCTTCTGATGTGCCCCTGTTTTGGATCTCCTTTTCTCCTCAAAAAGATTCATTAAAATTTTTTTTGAAGCTAGGATTACTTACTGCTTTCCAGGGTCCTCATAGACCTGCTACTTCTCAAGGGAATTCTTTTGGGTATAATCTTTTAATCTTCTAGAAAGCTAAAAAAAACATTGCATATGCCTGGCTTTCCATCAGAAACTATCTCTTTCCATCACAATGCTTTGGAAAATACTTTATCACTTGTTTTGTGGACTCATTTAACTCTTTTAACAAACCAATGTAGTGTCTGCTATATATTCTTGCTATTTTTTATCATTCTTTGTATGTTACATTTCTAAGTCTTCACAGTATCTTGTACTTTATTACCAATCCCCTAATATTTTGCTTTGTTCCACATTTCATTATCATGTCTTTTGAGAAGGACAACTATGAAGTGTAAGTGTGGAGTGGAAGGCCACAGAAATACCCCTTCCATGGTCTTGTACTGCCTCCAGGGTTCTCAGCAGCAGATTCCTCGCCTCTACTATTATTTAGCCCCCACCCTCATGCTATAATCACCGAGTTAGGGCTTAGCTCTTTGACTGCAGTGGTACAAACATGTTAGAACAGGTACAGTATGTTTCCCCTTCCAGGAGTACCTAGCAAACCAAAAGCAGGCAATTGTGTCAACCTACGGTTTGGAGTTACATAAGGATATCAGGTGGGCGATGACATTTGTGATTTAGGCTAGTTCGTGGAGTGAGAACAAGTAGTAAAAAGGTCCTTAAAGATGAGGTGATCAAATAACTTCACTAAAGTTGTGAAGAAGCTCCAATGGTTCAGTTTGGCTGTTGCAGAGACAGTGCGTAGAATAGTATGGCGAAGTACCACAGAGCCTGCAAGTTACAGAGAGCGAGGCCGAGCTTAGGTATACGCAAATACGCGGCCGACCCTCGGTTTGGGCAACAAAAACAGAGCGGAGATGGGAGAGGCAAATCCAGAAGTCAAGCCCAGGCACTAGAAGGAGCTACTATCCAGACATCCGGATTCTTAATAACTCCGAAAAAAACACAAAGTCTCGGAACTGTTGACAACGAAGGTAACGTGAATCGCCGAAGCCCACCTCTAATTGGCTGAAAAAGCTCATTCTCCTTTTGACTCCGTTGCTCAGATAACTTTTAGAAACTACGTTTCCCAGAGCGCCTTGCGGTGGCTGCTCGTCCTGGAGCGCTAGATGGGAGTTGTGGGGGGTGGGGCGGGGAGTGGACAGGTTAAATCTTCTCGATTAAGTAATGTGGCCTTCTCGAAGCGGGAGAAGAGAGTGTGGCCTTTTGGTGAGAGTAGGGGGGAGAGGGAGAGGGAGAGGGAGGGAGGGAGGGA